AAAAAATTCACTGAAATGGTTTAGAATATATATTCAAGGAGACCTCCCAGAAAATAGAATAAAATGACAAGGATCTGAAAAATAGAAGAGAAAAGATAAGAAAATTAGGCATCTAATTCAGGAAATCAAGCATCCGCCTAATAGAAGTTTCAAAGAGAAAACAGTAAACATTGAAGAATGAATTATCAAAGAAGTAACAGACAAATAATTCCCAGAACTGAAGGCAATGATGACGAAAGAGCCTATTTAGTGCCCAGCACAATGAATTAAAAAAACACAACCCCAAACACCCACCCCTTGGGCACATCATGATGAAATTCTGAACAACAGTGTTAGTGAAAAGTTGCCAAAGACTTTCAGAAGACTTGAAATCACATATAAGGGACTGAGACTAAGAATGGCAGCATCCTGTTCCATGGGAAGAATGCCTTAAAAATGCTGAGGGAATCTCTTTTCCTAATGAGGACTCCCTACACAGCCAAGCTATCAATCAAGTGTGACCATAGAATAAAGACATTGTGGACACGCAAGAACTAAAAAAAAAAAAAAATTCACCTTCACATACACTTTCTGAGAAAGATCCTACAATATGAACTAGAAAAATAGGTATAAAGATGGATAAAGAGGAAGATGAGGAAACCGAACCAAGAAAAAGTGAGGTGCTTTGCAATGTGTCAGCTTGGCTAGGCTGAACTACATTTCCCAGGGTTCCTTTTCCTTCCTGTTTTCCACAGGATTAGCCACAAGAGGGATGCTGGCATGAGATATGGAGGGCGGAAAGGAAGTGGCAGCTATCTTTGCAGCTCACCTATGCTGTCACGTATCTTGTTGGCATAAGATAGTGGCCCGGCCTCCAACTACTCCACCTTCCCTGGATATAATTTGGATCTTCCTTTTAGCACATGACAAAGGGTCTGGCTTCCGCAGGACACACATGTCACCAAGGTCAGAGACAGCAAGAACCAGACACAGGTTTCAGTCTGCCCTCATAGTCTCCAGCTCCTGCTTCCGTTACACTGGTCTGCCCTCGCACTTACCTGCCCTGCATACTTTGAGCTCCCATATTACCTGTGGAGACAGCAGCCTTTCAGAGAGTGCTTAAGGAGCTCCCACAATTGTATTAAATCAAACCCCTTATATACCTAGGAGTTCTGCTTCTTTGATTGAACTCTGTTATGTTACCCTTGAAAGGGGCAGCCTTGCAAAAATAGCAAGAAAATACCTAATCCCACATAGGAAAACACCTAATCCTGCAATTTCCCCAGTAATGGTTAAAGATCAATCCTATGAGTTCTCTCACTAACAGGTACCCTGCAGGAGTTCTGTTTTGCGCAACTTCTGAAAAAGCCGAATGGACAGAAATGAGATGTAAATCTCTCTCTTTCAAGATTGTTTTTTTGAGAATCTGCTTTTACAAAGTTCCTGAGTACACAGCAAGAGAACAAGCTCCAATCCTCAACCATAGCTCAAGGACAGAGTCACATCTCCTGTGATAATTTCTTTTCCAAGGAAGGCAGGAAACCACGTCTTGGACTTTGACATCCTTGCAGTTTTTGTTGTCTACCTGCTGCCGCTTTTGTTATCAACTGAAATCACTTTTTTTTTTCTCTTTGTCCCCCTTAAAATCAGCAAGACACTTGACCTCGCTGCTGGCATCTCCCTTCTTTCTTCGGGATGCCACTCCATGTCTCTCTCTCTCTCTCTCTCCTCTAAGATGCTAAAATAAATTT